TTATGATAACACTTCATAAATATGAATCTACGATATCTTTCGATCGTTTATCAACAAACTTATCAATGTCGACTATCATAAGTCTCTTTATCACTTCGAAAAGTTTCACGTAAATTCTAATACAAAAATTCTTAAAAATCTTCTCTTCTAAACCAAGGTTGGCAACAGACATTAAACTTTCTCAAATAATAGCAATTATAGAAAAGCACTCTAAGGCATGATATATTCATTATTTTTTTTAGCACATATTAGAATATAAGGCATATCTCTTCTTAATATTCTAGTGTTTGACTCCATTTAGGTATTTGACCTAAAATATACCAGATACATATCGTATCATCTTCACTTAACAATTCATATTTAAGTATAGAAATTCTCAAAATTCCTAGTTCACTTCAACTAATTTTGTGAAAATTTTGAAGTAACTTAATATCTTAGAATACTAAAGTTTATCACTACCCAATAACCCACTTAACTATTTCCTATGGTTTGTATCCATATATGTACTATGAATCCATTCATGTATTGAACTTCCAACAGTTTAAGTCTAAATACCAATCCGTGATATTTAGTTCACTTAAACTATTGCTCTGATACCATGGTTGAAAGACCCTCACTTTCGTATTTCTCAAAGACCCAAACTTCATACTTGACAATATAGTTACTCCAAAACATGCTACTTGCATATTCATAAAAACAATATTTTATATTGATAAAGTGATTACAAACGACTGGATACAAATCAACTATTACAAGTTTATTATTTTACATAACTACCCAGGAATTTGTTATTTGTATACATACATGAATATTAAATACAAAGAAATAGTATTAACTATTCTAAATCTTCCAAACACAGTATAAAACTATACTGGATGATTATCACCTGCATTTGTTAAACATTGAGAGGGATAAGCAATAACGCTTAGTGAATTCAATAAATAGATACAATATAATCTTATGTCGTATATATACCATTATGACAGAAGCAAAGAGGAACAAGAACAACAATAGCATATGCGTATCATATGCCAGGCTTTCAATATCAACTCAAGATTTGATTCAAAGATTTATGATCAATGAGACATAACGATTTCAATACTTGATATGCATTAATAAAGCTTTGGCCCAAATGGCACAGAAGACATACAATTTCTGATTAACATTTTGGTAGATTTCAGGCTTATAACCATGTCTAACCATTTGCCAATACCATAGAATAGAGGTCATTCTCTTATGGAGTCATTCTCTACATGGTCAGAGGCTACATACCAGTCCTATCTAACCTTCTACCAATGCCATAGAATAGAAGTCATTCTCTTACGAGACATGTTCTACATAGCCAGAGGCTACATACCAGTACCACCGTGAATCCAGGTCCTTTCACAGATCACATGGTTAAAGGTATAACTTTGCTACAAATATAGCATGAAATAACAACACGAGATAACAACACGGAAAAAGCACATAGCACACATAACATACAATTGTTCATATATATTGAACTCACCTTGAAATAATTGGGGGTTAAAAAAGTAAAAATATTGATTTGGGGGTCAAAAATCACAAAAATCCAATTTTACCCGGCAAACCTTGTATTTATAGCGCGAGGGTGCTAAGGTCGGCTGAGAAGGAGCCAGGCGTCAGCAGCAGCGAAGGCCACGCGACAGCAGGAGCGAAACACGCGGCACGCATGCGGAGCTCGGACGCAAGGAGGCGGTGGAGGAGCGAGCTTCGGACACCTGTGTGAGGCGCGTCGGACGCACACTGGTCCGTGGTTCGGTCCAATCGGAAGGCTGCACGTGTTGGACACGGGTGGTGCGGCTACTTTTCATGCGAGAGTCCCCGGGTCTTATCCATAATTTCTCGGTTTTTTAGCCAAAAATCTTGCGAAATTCATAACTTTCTCATACGAACTCTGTTTTTGACGTTCTATATATGCACGCGTAGGCAGTAATATATTCTACATCTTTCGTTTAGACTTTATCAGCTAATTTTGAATTTATTTTTAATATTATTATTTTTAACTAACCGGGACTGGTAAATCCGTTAAAAAATCATAACTTCTTCATCCGACATCCATTTTCGTCTGTCTTTTTACTGTTGTACTACTATTGAAGAGACGTTCGAATCTCGTTTAGGTTGGTTTGGCTAAATATCGCTCGATCTTTATTTCGAGTTTTTGGCTGTTTAGTGTTATTCTAAAACTTAGAAAAATTATAACTTACTCATACGAAGTCAGATTCAAAAGTTCTTTATATGAAAATTCATTAATTTCACGAGTTCTACAACTTTCATTTAGATCACTAAGACTAAAAAGTAGTTTTATCGAAAACTCACTTTTTACGCGAAATAGTGTTTGTCGGTTTTGTTACGGATCTTCGATTAGTCATAACCTCTTCGTTATAACTTGGATTTCGACGAGGTTTTCGCCTAAATGTTTGTAACGAGATTGTCTACAACATTAAATAATAAAATTGTATTTATTTTAAATTTTATGTTTTCGCTAAAATTTCACTATTTGGCTTTAAATTGAAATCCCATAAGATTTTCAATATTTTCCTAGTGATTCTAAACATAGTTTTACTTCATTTCTAGTAAAAACTATCTGTTAGAACTCAACACTCAATATTATTCACATTTAATAATTACATAACACGGTAACAGAACGTGTATGCTACATCTACTGTCGCATCTGCCATTTATTTCGAGACTCCATTGTTCCGGACTCTCTATGGACCCGCCTTCCGGAACCACTTTCACTTTTTCGGACGTAGAACCTTTTTATTTTCATTCCGGTCTCAAAAATTCCAAGACCCAATGCACTTCAAACCTTTTTCATTTCGCGCCCTTTTATTTTAAAATCCATTCTGGACCTTTTCTTCCAAACCATTTAGTCCTTATTTCCACTTTGCACCGATTTTGGAGTCCACCCTTACATTTTAGACTTTACCTCTTATTTTTAGTCCAGACTCTCCACTCCTAACCTATTTCAACTTAACCAATTTCTCTATGTGATTCCATTTTCATAATGGATCCACCTTCTAACTTACTTCTTACCTTTTTTATTATTCCGGATCTCTTCCTTTTTTATTAATTTTATTTTTTTTAAAACCCATTCAACCCTTTTTCTTTATCCATTTTTAATTACATTTATTTCTTTTTCGGAATTATATATGGCCATATCTTTTGAATTTGGATTCACAAACCAAAATTCATATCTTATTCCTATCAAACCCACTTTTTTTTTTTTTTTTATGTTTTTTTATAACCAATTTATTCATTCATTTTGTTTAAATCCAATTAATTTTATTTAACACCCATTTTTTTTATTAAAACCAATTATTTTTTGTTAAAACCAATTATTTTTTTAACACCAATTTTCACCCCATGGTTCAAGGCTTCATTCTTCTTGCTAATTATGAGTGGCGATACAGTTTGTTCAGAGATTATTATTTTTGTGTCTCACATCTACCGAGCAACTCGCATTTGCTACCTCATATTTATGTGCTTCAAAGATTGATCCTTCCAAGATTCACATTTTGTACTCCCTTCGGACTATTTATATATGGTCTCAGACCATTACTTGGGAGTTCGGGTTTGCATTTCGGTTTTCGGCATCATTTCGGTTTAGCATTAGGATTCTTCAGCAGTGGGTTTATCATACATATTCTATAGTGTTTGTTCAGTTTAGCAATACATCACCAAGTTTACCCATGACCAAAAAATAATATCCTCGTTTTACGGGTAGATGCTCACATCAAGGGGGAGCATGCAATGCTCCATCATATCCGACATATTCTCTTGCCCGATTTCATGATTATTTTTTCTCTATATTGCATGGTCGATCAAAAATAGAGATAGAATCATGAGCATCCATTTTGATTTATTGGAGTTTTGATGTCAGAGACATTTGAAGACGGACAATGATTTAGTAGTGTGATGTGGCACTGATTTTTAATCTTTACAGATCGAATTTTTGGCATTACTTGATGTTCTTCGGATTATGATTATTTATCTTCAGACTCTACACTTTGGGATGTCTCATTTGTGTTTGCATCTGGTTTAGATCTTATGATTGCTCGAGTTTGGGTTTGCGATATTTTGAAGACGATGATTATTTTAGCGATGCGGCGTGAAACTTATTTTTTTATCTTCAAATCAAATTTTTGGCATTGCTAGACCATGTCCTCGGATTCATATTATTTATCATTCAGACTTTATTTTTGGGTGCTTCACATTTTCAGCAGGTTATTCTTCAGAGATTATTTGGTGCATTACCACTCGAGTTCGGGATATTGAAAATGTTGTGTGACTCGACATTGTGCTCTTCGGTTCAACAGTCGAGGGGGAGACTGTGAACATGATTAGTTATTGGGGACTAATCACATTTGAAGATTTGGATTTCATACTTTTATTCAGAGATTGTGGTTTCTCTGTTTGTTCTTTGATGTTAGAGATTCCATTGTCAGATTCTGAGATCACGACAGCTTCAACACTTTTGAGATGCTTCAACACCAGACCCATCGGACCTGCCTGTCGGATGTTCTGCCTTTTATCACTACTTTACCCTCACCACTTCTGAGCATTTAGGGGGTGATTGTTAGAGCATGAAAATGCTCTACAATGTTGAGTGTTTATTAGGATAGAATATTCCTATGTATGAAAAGCATATTCCCTCCACTAGTATATAAAGTGGAGGTGATGGTTATTTTTATTATTAGTGTTCACTATGTAGACTTTGGAGTTTAGAGAGAGTGTGGTGGGATCCCTCCCACCATAGGAGAGTTATCTCTCTCAACCCATGAGTGTTCTTGTAATATTTTATATCACTCTATTTATCTACTACAGTTTTACTCACATATTATGTTCTTCATGTTCATACTCGATTATCTTCTTGGTAATATCTTCCACACCGATCCAATCGATAAAATGGGAACCCACATTCTATAAACTTTCCCCCTATTGAGTATCAAGGCCTTGTCTTCTCCTTAAACTTGCTATTTTTTTAACTCCTTTAGGAGTTCAAACACTCTTGCAAAGCTAATTTGAGTCTTCATATTTACATCGTGTTTAGTCAAGATGAAAGGATTTATGAGATGCTCGAGAATGTCTTTGGAAATTTGTAGGATTTCTTTGTGAATTTCCTTAGGATCATTCATTAGCTTTATTGACTCAACCACCATATTTGAGAGTACTTGCAACTTAACAAGGTTATTTTTTTGTAGATCCTTGATGGTAGTTTGGAGTTCTATGTATCCCATGTCATAAGCCGTTTGGATCTCATCAAGTAGATCTCGCATCTTCTTCTCAAATGCTTGAGAGTTCGTCATTAACTTTTCTTTGAACTATTCGATCTCCTTCGTTAACTCTTCTTCTTTCTAAATGAACTCAATTTAATCTTACTTAACTCATCCAGTGCTTGAATACCTAATTCAATTCACAGTAGTATTCTTTAATACAATATCCTCTCCCTTTCTTCAATTTTTGTGACTCTTTGTGCAAGAGAGTCTATGTTAGGAGGAATCATAACTTGTAGTTGAGGAGGTTATAGATTTATGAATGCACTGAGAATATGGTCTACTTTTTCAAAAAATTCAAGGAATTCTTTGCTTGATACCACAACCTTCTTCTTCTTCTTAGACTTGTCCTTCGTGACAGAGTGATGCAAAGTACTTGATTCTTCGTTAAACAAAAACATGTGAACGTCTTCGTTATCTTTCTTTTGAACTTCATCCTCAGTGAGATCAAAGCCACATGTTTTCTCATTTCCTATTTGAATCATAGTACCATTGGACCCCTCATTATTTACTTCCTTCTCTGGTTCATAATTTTCATTGGCTCCCTCAACTTGAGCTCTCGTACCATCAAATGCTCTACACATTGTTCCCATCATGATATCTACTCATTATTGAGTCTTTTGGTTGTTGTAAGTTATCTACATGCTGGTAAGAGAAGTTGCAAGATGCTCAGCCACACTTTGGTCAACCATTGGCAATTCTCTCCTTTGTTGAGTTGAGAGGGATCTTGGTTTTCTTTCCCTTATGGCTTGCTTGAATTTCTCAAACTTGATCCTTACTTCTTCTATTGGAGGTACATAATTCATCCAATTGTTATCCAAAACACAAAAAGAATCAATAACCACCAGGGTTTCCCCCGGGTTCATGGATCCTTACACATTTGTGCTCCTCGTGCCTAATCCGCTTGTGTTTAATGTTGGTGGTATAGGATTTCTAGGATTTCCTTGGTCTCCTTCGACTAAAACCAAGTTTGACCTTGATCCTGTTTTGGCATGGGTCTCTGAAAAAGGTCCATGTGGTGTATTATATGTTTGCAGTGTATGTGTGCGTGAACGAAAATGAAGGAAAGGTCCTCATTAGTAAAGTAGTACCTATATCTTCTCCTGGAGACCTTAGGAGATTTTCTAACACTAGAATTCCTTTAAAATCCCGATTGGGCTATTTATCCACTTTCAGATGAAACAAATGCACCTTTTGCAACTGAGTGGATGTATATGGTGTGTTCATGTGATCCAACTTTAGATCTATTGACCTACAAAGTCTTTTGAGAGACTTTAGTGTTTATTTTGGCTCACTTTTTGGCTAAGTAGGTTGGGATCTTCAACTTTCTTTTCCTAAAAACATTTTGTGACTAAGAGTCACTTAGTTCCTCGATAGTTTTCTTCTTTGCTAATTTCAATGGGGTGCGTTTTTCTTCACAATGGTTTTTGTTAACAATTTGTCGCAAATGTATTATTTATTTCGTTGTTGGTTGCACTAAAAATATAGCACAGGGAAGCAAGGTTGAATCCTCAAGGATATAGCCTAACAATCAATTCCTTTTTGCATCAGACACAATCTAGTCAAGAAATAGAAAATATAAAAGTGGGATTTTTAAATTAAACTAATCTAATACTTGTTACTTATTACCAGGTGACAAGAACAATTACGGATTTTATTAACTGATTAACTGGAATGATAAAACCCTAGCTAGGTGATCAGACTAACAAAAATTAAAAATCAAACATTCATTAAGCTCAAAACGGAAAATATATATATAGAAACACAAAAAGAAAACTAGATCTGAAAACTAACCACATGAAAAGTACTAGTTCATGCATAATTGAAAACTATGTTTTAGCCATCCATGGCTAAAAACGAAACTAAAATAGTAGAAAGAAACATTTACTAATAAATTTAGATAAACTAAACGAATGAGATGATTCGCAATCTACAGATCTCCAAAATTCGCTAAAAGGTATCAAAAATCGCCTTTAGAAGGGTATTATGTCGTCTAGAATCGTCCAACTCTTGGATTTGATAGTGAGGGTCGTATTTATATGTGATACATAAACTTTCGGAGAAAGAAACTAAAAATGCGATCGCAGGTTGGTTATATCCGATCATATATTTTCATAAAAACGTGTATTGGGTTGATTTAATGATGTACATTGCTTTTTTAGTGCTTTTGGACAAACATGTGATCGCAAGCTAGCTATATGCGATCGCAGGTTTTTGAATTTTTTTCTAGGATTACATCTGGATGAAGTACGAAGCCAAATTTGAAGTTTCTGGAGTTGTGGGAAGAAAATGTGATCGCATAAATGCTTTATGCAATCGCATATAGATGACTTATTTCGACCCCGGGAAACTTCGTGGAAAACTTGTGATTGAATATCTAGGTTTCTGGCTCATTTCGGACGTGATTCTTCAGTGTAAGCACTCCTTGTTATTCCTTAGCATCATTCTTTAGATACAGCTCCATTTAAGCTCCAAATCCAGCTACTCCCAAAGTACCGCTTCACTCGAACTATTTGAAATTGACATTAAAAAAGGCTAGCAGTATGGAAATTCTGATAAAAGACACGAGCTAAATATTTTAAACAAATAACATGCAACTGTACAAAATATGATGCTAAATGATATATAAAAACTACCCTAAGAGATGCATAAAATGGAATCTATCAGTTTTCTTCCATTTGGACGTGGTCTTAGTGATAGGATTTAAGAACGATATGGCTCTACATCATTTGTAGCCTCAATATGGTCAGTGACCTCATTGTCAAACAAGCCGATTTCGGATAAGATAAAATTGGGAAGTTGTCTAATGGGTCCAAAACTAGATTGATCTTGAGGAAGAGAGTACCTTTTGAGATTATGTGTTGCAAAAAGGTTGGTGTCATTGCCAACGCTAACACATGCCTTGTTGTATAGATTACGAATGCTCAAGGACTAGAACATCACATAAGTAACTTCGGTGATGCCTTCACGAGGAATTTTCTTCCTAATGTACTAGATGAAGTCTTCCCAAAGAACTATTCCAAAATCGACTGGTTCACCGATGAAGATGCTCCAAAGGATATCGAAAAATGGTTTGCTCATCTGATCAGTTTCTCCTATTCTTGATGATAGACATCAGATGATGTAGTGACAAAAGTATTTCCCTATAGTTGGTAACCTTCCCTTCCTAAAATCTGCAACCCCTTTGAGATTGGATAAGTAACCCATCATATAAAGAACCCTAAAAACTTTGTCGTTAGAGGGAGGTTTAAATTCAATGATTGCAAGTTGTCTCAAATTGATTGCAGGGATGAACTTGTTCTTGGTGAGACTTTCAGTTGAATCATTCGTCAATTGAAACTTAACCTGATCGTGTGGTTCTTCGGGTCTGTAAGTGGAGAAAACACACTTAAACATAATGGAAATTAGGATAACATCAGTAAAAGCATCAAATTGACCAAATAGAATGTGTTTCTTTTGGAACCAGAGCATTAAATGCATCATATTTGTCGCTATCATTGAACACACCATGGTAATTGCTATACATAATTGTTGGGTTCATGTGTTTCACATTTAATGTTGATCCAACACCCTTAGTTTGTTTCTTTAAGATGCCAGATTTTAGTATTGTTTTAGAAAATGATTTTAAAGAACTTGTAGGATTTTTTTTTTTGCAAGAGTGAGAGGGATGAAGATCTTCGAGAGTCCAGAAAGCGTAACACTTTCTTGGAGAAGAAAATGAGGTTTTATTTCTCTGGATGCGAAAACTTTTTCCAATTCAGTTTAATTTGTACCATGGTTAAATTGAGGAGTTTTTTTTTTTATCTATTTAAATATTTTAATCGAAGGAAATTGGGAGATTTGACGGTCATTAAATATAGACATGGGCACATTTAATGAATGTGATGATGAAGTCTTAAAATGTGTGTGTGGGTGGGGGGGGGGGAGGTGTTTGTATTTGTATCATGTAAATGTTAGTATACTTCCTAGAAAATCCTATATTTTCTACTTAAAATGAAAAGTAGTCTTAAACCTAAGACCCAACTGTTTTTATGTTTTGTTCTCTTGAAATAGTGTAAAATGTATGTTTGTACGTGAAATAGTATAACTATATGTTTGTACTTGAAATAGTATAAATGTATGTTTTCCATATTTGTAAACCGTCTTTACTAGAAAAATAGTATGCATTGATCATGTGAGATTATCATTCTATATATGAAATGGAAAATGAAGATTCACAGTAGTATTGCTATAAAGTAGCAGTACTAAATAATATATGCCTTGTAACCGAATTGGTTAGTTAAGGTCTTAATGTGATTAAGGTTATAACCATGTTTGATTGACTAGTATAAAACACGACGTTCTTCAGGCGTCGGCAATGATATGACATTTGTCACTTGTAGACCTGCAAGTCACACTGTAGCTAGCGGCAAGGTGTGGGATGGTCAGTCCCGTATAGATCTATACACAAACTTATGCTCTCCCTCCAGGGGACTCTGGTTACAAAACATGACTTAGCAAGACTATTGTTATGCCATGAAATAGTATTTCACATTCTAGTTAACTTATTCACATATAGTATGTAAGTTTCTTCTTGTTCTTGTAAGTGAATAGTATACTTTGTAATGAAATGTAGTATTATGTATCTATTGATTCATGTATTGTTTCTCTGATCTAGAAAATAGTATGAATTGATTCTCTAAACTATACCTATTATAGTTTACTAGTACATTTTGTTTGAACTGTAAATGATTTGGATAAAAGACTCAATTTCCCAACATATGCAACTGAGTTAAGTATGTATTTGAAAATGAGATTTAATATTCATGTATATATTTTAGCATGTATAATTATGATTTAGCCGACATTCGGACTAGTGATCCTACCCTAAGCCCACAACTAAACAAGGAACAGTAGTTACGGTATTTAGCAATAGTCCTAAGTCCATTAAAGCATGATTATACATAAATATACAAACGAATATGATTTTGGTATAAACAGAAATCTAAAATAATTTAAAAGAGTTTTGAAATGATTTTAACAATATTTATAAGCATAAGAAATCCTTCGTTTGTTTGTTTTCACATGCAATAGTTAACACAATTAAATTGTGTTCTACTTGTATTCCCCCTTTAAAACATTGAAAAAGGTAAACTGTAGGGGTATGAACTCACCTTATGTGAGTGATTCATTTAAAGCTTCGATATAGGATGTTTGTTTCCACAAGTTAGATCCCGAGGCAAAAAGAAGTCCTAAAAGCATTTCACACAATATATGTGTATACAATTAGTGAATATAATCGCAAGTACGTTATGGAACTAAACTAATTTGTAAGTTTCACTTACAAATAAGAGTGTTAGAAGTGATTTAGGAAGGCTACACTGAGTTTTCAGCCAGTCCTTTGGGTTTTCGGCCCAATGAAGATCTTGGTGTTCTTGGTGAAACCAAGGAGATTCAAGGGTTTTCGACTGAGGATTTTGATGAAATGAAGAACACTTTATATTCTTGGAAAGATCTGAAGGAGATACAAAGGATTTTTTATGATAGCTGAGAGAGAATTAGGGGTTTTCGGTTGGTATTCTTGAGAGTAAAAAGGGTGTTTTCGGCCAGAAGTGTAGAAGCGAGGATGTGTTTTCAGTCCCTCCATATAAATAGGGTCGAAATCATGATGGGAAACATGCATTGATTTGCAAACCAATAGGATAAGACCGAGGTTTGCGGTCAGAAGAGAGTTTTCGGCCAAATATAGAAAGTTCGCACATTTGCGGTCTGGAGGGAGTTATCAGTCCAAAGTCTTAAGTTAAGCGAGGGTTCTCAGCTGCGAACCGAGAGTTTGCGGCCCATGCGAGACTTCTCGGATTAAGCATTACACTTCTAATATAAGGATTTTAAACACATATTGGTTATCAATCTAACTTTAAATAAGTAAATCAAAATAATAAGCTTGACTTAGTTTGACTTTTACAATAATGAAAATAATTGGTTATCACAGGAGGAGGGGAGAACCGTATGACGGTTGATATGCACAGTGTCATATTAATGACAAGTTGGTGAAACGATTTTATTGAAAATAAGTCTCTTCATTTTATTTAAGAAAAGGTGAACACAACATGTGTCCACGCCAGATTTTGAAAAGACACTAAAGGAAAAAGTTATTCAATGAATTGGAATAAAAACATTCTTTTTGAAATCTCAAATATTTTATCATAATTCATTAAATAACACATCCTTTGACCTTTATTTATTGTCATACATGAGAACAACTTTGGTGTTCTTGAAGGTAGATCTACAGTATGAGATAAGGTATGAATAAGTTGGATTACCACTGAAGAGAAAACTTAAATACGAAGTTAGATATAAAAATAATAAAGCGACCCTAAGAGTACGTAGATCATAAATAAACTTCGGAGAATGAATTTTAGCAATGTATAATATATGAACATTGTGCTCAAGAGTTAAACTTACAAATGAGAAAATTAAAACATAGAAAAATATATGTGCTTCAAAGGTTTAGAGAATCTACTCGGTGAATAAAATATTCATTTGATTCATGATAAAGTATGTATGTACTTCATCAATTTATCATAATGAGTGAAGCATAAATATTTGTTAGTTGTGAAGACTTTATAGTATGCGAATTTATATATTAAAAGGAACCGAGGGTCAGG